CTGTGTGTATCATACTTGGCCTCTTTTATTTTTTCTGAAATTATACAAAGTGAAATGGGCTTAGTATAAAAACATGAGCATGCATGTGCAGGCCCTAGTTTCAATCCTCATGTGTATATAAATAAAATAGAAAAAATTTAAATAGGAAAGTAATCTGTACTTATCATATTTATTACACCTTAGAAGTATTTAAAATTGTTTGCAAATTATATAAGTTATATTCAAGTGAGTATATTTGACTTATTATTCAAGATCAAACTTTTATTAATTCTGAAAACATCTTGATAGAATGCATTTAGAGTATTTTTATAATGAATAAATATGCTAAAACTGGTCATTTAAGGAATGCTACACTTCTACGGTTTTTAATATTTCATGAGCATTAACCTAGAGTTACTTACAGTTTCAAATTTTATTCTTTTTCTTCTAAGGGTGGTCCATATCACGATGTTTTACATAGTATCTTAGGGGCGTATACCTGTTACAGACCTGATGTTGGTTATGTAAGTATTTGTTTCAGTCTGATTTTTGCATATAAACATTTTATCTATACTCATCAAGACTTCCTATGTTGTATTAGATATTTATAGACACAGATGATCTGTAGTTTATCTTTTGAGCTTACTGGTTTACCTGAAGAGGAAGCTTTCTGTCTCTTCCCAACTGTTGAGAAGAAAATGGGCTGCATTTCCACATCTCTGCTGTCAGGATGTGTTTTGACTTGTCTGTCTCCCTAACTGTTTGTTCCTGTGGCTGTTCCTCTGGTTAATAAATTCTCTGCATATTCTGCTTGATTAGGGGAGGCACCTGGCTACCCAGGATAGAGGAGCAGATGTTCTCACTTTATAGATCGAACCAACTCTGCTTTTTAGCCCTACTCTTCTACTTCAGAGTGTCTCCTAGCTTCGGTTCTTGAGCCAGACAGGATTCTCTGGCTTGCTGATTGTTGGCTTTTTCTTCTGCAGAACTTTGTTTCAACATTTCCACTTACCTTAATTAAAATTGCTAAAATGCTTTTTATATCATTTACATTATTTTGTTATGGTGGGTTTTGTTTTGTTTTGTTTTGTTTTCTTTTTCCGAGACAAGGGTTCTCTGTGTAGCTTTGGAGTCTGTCCTGGAACTTGCTTTGTAGACTGAGCTGGCCTCGAACTCACAGAGATCCAACTGCCTCTGCCTCCCAAGTGCTAGGATTAAAGGTGTGCACCACCACTGCCCAGCCATTTATGCTGTTTTTAACCTTTACCTTTCTCTCTGTCCTTCCAAGGTAATATTTACATTTTCCTTTACTGTCATGTTGGACTTGGGGAAGAAACAAAATTTGAGTGCTCAGTGTCTAACTAGAAGTTATTGAACTTTCATCTTCTCTCCTTTCATTGAGAGAATTGTAGAGATTCATTGTTTGGTCCAACTTTGTTCTGTTATACATGAATCTGTATATTTGTTCGTACGTATATTTGTGTATACGGATTTTTATGTGTTTATCATTGTTACATGACAGGCATTGTTCTAGGCACTTCTAGATACTTCAGTGCATAAAACATGGTTACACCTCCCCATCAATCTCAAGGAGAAAACAGACAATATACAAGTAAATTGTTTATTAAAGGGTTTATTGTAAAGTGATGAGGGGAAGATATGTGAGGATAAAGAGAGGAATTGCCAGGTCTGGATGGAGAAAAAATGAGATTTGAGCAAGTTTTACATTCCTCTGCTCAGGTATTCTTCACAAGAGTTATAGTGTAACTAGAGTTTTCCTGCCTGGGCCACGGTCTGGACAAATCTCTCTCACCCGCCAGTCCCACAGCTGCTCAGACCCAACCAAGTAAACACACAGAGATTTATATTACTTATAAACTGTATGGCCATGGCAGGCTTCTTGCTATCTAATTCCTCTATCTTAAATTAACCCATGTCTATTAGTCTATAAGTTGCCACATGACTCGTGGCCTTCCAGTACCTTACATCTTGTTTGTTATGGCGGCGGCGGCTGGCAGCATCTCTCTGCCTCAGCCTTTCACTTCCCAGAATTCTCCTCTCTCCTTGTCCCACCTATACTTCCTGCCTGGCTACTGGCCAATCAGTGTTTTATTTATTAATCAATCAGAGCAACACATTTAACATACAGACCATCCCACAGCATTATAGGACACCTTATATCCTGTAGACAAATCTTAAAAGGTCTTATTAAATAAAAAACCCAGAGCCAGATATTGGGTTAAATTCTGAAAGATCAACGAGACAGAACAAGTCACAGCCAACCTCACCTTGCCAACTCCTCAGTTGATCTTGTTTCCTCAAACTGGAAGCCTGAGTGAGTCCTCATCGGAATGGATCTCAGCTGAACTGCTACTAAAAGCCTAAAAGTTTAAAAGCCTCTAGTTCCTGGTCCTCACACCTTATATACCTTTCTGTTTCCTGCTATCACTTCCTGGAATTAAAGGTGTGTGTCACCATGCCTGGTTGTTTCCAGTGTGGCCTTGAACTCACAGAGATCCAGATGGATCTCTGCCTCCCAAGTGATAGGATTAAAGGCTTGTGTGCCACCATTTTCTGGCCTCTGTATCTAGTGGCTCTTCTGTTCTCTGACCCTAGATAAGTTTATTAGGGTGCACAACACACTGGGGGACAGAATATCACCACAATATCCCTTGCATTTTTTTTTCGATTTGTACTTACAGTTTTTCATTTTAAGTTTAATTTTTATAAAAGATTCAGTTTTTAACACTTTTTAAAAATGTGTGCAATAGAATCTTCAAACTATTATGATTTTCTTCTGATTAGGTTCAAATTAAATGTTTTAGAATACTACCATAAATGACATCCATAAGTAAACACATAATAATCAAAAGAATTAGACTTTGGAAACACCGTAAAGAAACTATTTTCTTTCATTATGCACAAGAGTGATACATGATGTATGTAAATGATCTTTAAGTAGCTCTACACATATACGTAAAATAAAAATTCTAAGTGATAAAACATTGTCAACTAATTGGCAACATCTTTTTCTTTTTTAGTACATGGTTTTTTAACATATTAGGTAAAATTAAATGTGGTTTTATCCCTTTTATTTGCACTTGTTCTTTTCTATTTATTGGTGGTTAACACTTTGCCTCTTATACATTCGGCACATATTGTGGTACAGGGAGTACAATTATTAACAGATACAGTTCTCTGTATTAGTTTTCTATTGTTGCTATAACAAATCAGTACAAATTTAGGGTCTTCAGACAACACACATTTGAAAGTTCTACAGGTTAGAAGCCCAGGATTGACTTCATGTTTAAGTCAGGATAGTGACAGTGCTGTGCTCTTTTGTAGGCTCCAGGACAGAATCCATTTTTCCACCTTCTGAAAGCTGATTACATTTTTTACACTACAGCCCCCTCCCATTTATTTTGAAAAGGAGCAGTACAGCATTTCTAATCTCAGTATGATTCTCCTGCCTCCCATTTTCACTTCAAGATCCTTTGGGACAGTAACTTTGGGCCCATTCCGATAATCTAGTACAAGTATCTCATCTCTAGATTTTACTTAATCATTTTCTCAAAGTAGCATCTTCCCAGGTGCTGGATATGAGGACATGAACATCTTTGGGGGACAGGTACTCTGCTTACTATAGTTTCTGTTTCCATGGAGCTTATTTTAATGAAAAATAAATAGGAAGTTATCATAAAGACTGCAAAGAAGCCAGAGAAATAGGAATAGAACAAAAAAAAATTATTGAAAAGAGTGTGATGGCTCATACCTGTAATCCTCTCACTTAGTAGCCTGAGGCAGGAGAATTACTATGAGATTGAGGTCAGCCTTGGCTATATAGTGAGTTCTAGGCCAGCTAAGCTCCAACATGAAATGCTATCTCTCTCACCACCAAGAAAAGAATGAGTCAGTGCACTGTAGTAATATTAGTGAGTGGTTAACCCATCCAAAGTATGTTACAAGGAGATGTAAGAATGAATCAGTGCACTGTAGTAATATTAGCGAATGGGAATCCATCTAAAGTATATTACAAAGGGATGTAAGAAGCTGGCGATGGCTGGGTAGTAGTGGTGCACACCGTTAGTCCCAGTACTCAGGAGGCAGAGGCAGGTGGATCTCTGTGAGTTCTGGAGGACAGCCAGGACTACACAGAGAAACCCTGTCTCGAAAAACCAAAAAAAAAAAAAAAAGAAGAAGAAGAAGAAGCTGGAGATGGTGATTATAGACAGACTCTTCAGAATATTTGGTTGGGAATAAGACACATCCATATCCATCATTGTAGTTACTCTTGGGGGACTATATGTTCATGTCTATTTTAGAATTCTTGACTTTGTTTCTAATTAAAGAGAGGTATAATTGCTACAGATAACTCATTGGCCATTTTATCAAGGCCTTTCATAATGTAAATGAGTCTTTTTCTAAGTGTCTTCTAGTCATCACATTATAAATGTTGTATTCTACATGGGCTATCATTTCTTTGTTCAAGCTTCTTTTCATTAAGGGATTTTCCCCCATCTTCATTTCTTTCTTGTGATTGCCCACAAATTCAGGCTGTTTCAAGCCCTATAACTTCTTTCTTAGAGTGTTCAGTTTATCCCATACATCTCTCTTATTCTTAGTCCTTTGTATGTTATAATGTGAAAACAATCACTTAATTTTCATTAACGTGTAATTTTGAAAGAATTCAGACAAAGAAGAAATAATTAGTTGGTATACTGAGATAGGCTCTTAGAGCAAATAAAAGTTTAAATTTTTTCTGATTTGTTAAACCCTAGCACATGAACAAGAAATGTAAACTTAGGGACATTTACAACTATTACAGTTTCTTACTAGTTGCTTTACTGGGACAGAAAAAGGAAACTAGCAAATTCTTATTATAGTTTGTAAGCTTTGAGGAGGGTAACTAAAGTAGAATGATCTGAATCCATTTTATCCCCTTCCCCTGAAGGTCCAAGGCATGTCCTTCATTGCGGCTGTGCTCATTCTCAATCTGGAGGAAGCAGACGCCTTCATTGCATTTGCGAATCTCCTCAATAAGCCATGCCAGTTGGCCTTCTTCCGGGTGGATCACGGCATGGTATGAACATTTAGGATAGACCGTTTGGCTCAGATGTGTCTGTGTTCTGAATGTCTGCTTAGAGTAAAAAACACGGAAGACTGAGATAGTCTGATCAAATCGATGAAGTTTTCATTGAGTGATAATTTTAGGAAAACTTGAAGTGACTCAAAAGAGTCCCTAATAAAGTTTGCTATTAAAGTTAAGGAGTTCTCTTTCTGTAGTAGATTATTTTGTAATTTTATTGATTTTTTTCCTATTTATAGATGTTGAAGTATTTTGCAACATTTGAGGTATTCTTTGAGGAAAACCTGTCCAAACTATTTCTTCATTTCAAGTCATACAGTCTTACACCAGATATATACTTGATAGATTGGTAAGTCACTAATAGACATAAATATCAGTAAAGAGGAAATAAAAATATAACTTTCTCTGTTTTTTACGAACTATAGTAAATCTGATAGATGAGATTATACATTTAAAAGAATCTTTCTCTCACAAATAGAAAAAGTCCCACATTTTGTAGGGATGTATTTAAAAACAGACTGGAGCCAGGCATGGTGATACATGCCTTTAATCCCAGCACTCTGGAGGCAGACACAGGAGGATCTCTGAGTTCAAGGCCAGCCTGGTCTACAAAATGAGTTCCAGGGCTACAAGGAGAAATCTTCTCTTGAAAACCCAGACAAGTATAGACTGGCTTGAAATCAGTTTCTGTTTGTTTTTATAAAAGGGAATAGGAGAGAACCTGTAGAAATTGCTCAGTGGTTAAGAGTGCATGCTCTGGCTAGGTGTGGTGATGCAGTCCTTTAAGAAAAAATAGTGTATGCTACTCTTGCAGAGAACCTGAGTTCATTTCCCAGTACCTAGCTTGAGCAGCCCCACAGCCTGTAACTACAGCACCAGAGTGTGCAGCACCTTCTTCTGCTCTTCTTGGGCAAGGTAGTCTTGAAACACACACACACACACACACACACACACACACACATTTGAATTATGCATATATGCATAATTATACAATATATATACACATATATAAATACACAGATATAGAAAATAAAAATTATGTATTCATATATATATATATATATATGTCTTTTTTTAAATAAAAGAGAGAAAAAGAGGTGACTGGAAGATGGGTCAGCATGGGAAAGCACTTGCCACACAAACCTGACAACTTGAGTTTGATCCCTATAACCTATATGGAAAGCCAGATGCAGTGGCACATATCTTAGCATTCCGGTGGTGATATGGGCGGCAAAGACAAGAGAATCACTAGGAAGCTAGCTTAGAGTAGTCACCACAGCATCAGAAGCAAGAGAGACCCTGCCTCAACAAGGTGCAAGACAAGAGCCAACTCCCAATGTTGTCCTCTGATATCCACAGGCACCATGGCAAACGTGTGTGCATGCATACAGTAATAAATAAATTAATTAATTAATGCTCTCTTTAAAAAAGAAAGTATAGTAATACCTTGAAATGTAGTGAATCGTCATGATGGATTCTTTAATGCCTAGCATAAACTAATATCTCAAGAAAAGCTAATGGCAATTTCTTTATTCTTAACACAGAAAAAGCTATATTATATTAATAAGATGTTTTTTAAAGCTTTATCCGAAGTTCTGAAAGAGGAATGATTCATTATTTAGATGCTAATATTTATTTTCTTATATCCAGGATGTTCTGTTCTAATTTTGAGGGTTTCTGTGGTAAGCAACAGGCAGTTTTTAGTTTCATTGGTGAATTTGGTAAGAAGTGGAGAATTTGGGGCTGGAGAGATGGCTTAGTAGTTAAGAACACTGGCTGCTCTCCCAGAAGACCCAGGTTCAGTTTCCAGCAACCTCAGGGTGGCTCACAAGTGTCTGTAACTCCACTCCAAGGGAATTGGGTGCCCTCCTCTGGCCTCCTCAGGCACTGCATGAACAGACATACATACAGGCAGACTCATTAAATTTAAAAAAATATATATATTTTTTTAAAGTGGAGATTGTCAAGTTGTCAACAGTAGAGAGTGGTTATGGAACTTTATTTAATTTTGAGACAGGGCTTCTAGTCCAGGCTGGCTTCAGAGTTCCTATTAGCTGAGGGTGACCTTCCTACTCTACCTCCCAAGTGTTAGAATTTCAGGTATGTGCCACCATATTTAGTTTATCCTGGGAATGATACCCATCGTATCTTGCATGCTAGGCAGGTGCTTTACCACTGAACCCAAGCTAGCTATAAGCTTTGATGTAGAAAAATGAATAAGTAAATAATGACTTATTTACCAAATAGTGTCTTCCTAGTCATTTGGGCCTTCTTCCTCTTCCTTTGTGTATTCTGGCTTCTTCCCTCTCTCTCTGCCCTCTCCTCCCTTTTTATTCCTCTCTCTCCCCCACCTTCATCATTGTTGGTTTGGTTGGTATGTGTAGTGCTGAGGATTAAACACATAGCCTTGCACATGCTAGCAAGCTTCTCTAGGATTGAGCTACACTCCAGGTCTTGAGCATTCTTTATATATCTGACACTGTTTTAAACACTCGATTAAGCTGGATATAGTAGTGCATGCCTGAAATCCCAGCACTGAGAGAGGCAGAGGTAAGAAGAGCATGAGTTATAAGCAGGAACCTGGCTGCATAGTGAGAATTTGTCTGCCCCCAACCAACAATAACAAGATGAGAAAGTGACTGTACTACTTTAATTTTCAAAACAGCCCTAAAATAGGTAATATTAGTATTATTGCTTTAATGAGGAATCTGAGGTATAGCAAAACTAAATATTTTGCTCAGTGTTACATAACAAAGTAGGAAATTAGAGATTCAAACTCAAACATTTTGGTTTCAGAACTCCATGGCTCTGACTATTAAGCTATTTTACCCTCTCTGGCTTACTCCAGACCTCGTCTCCGTGTAAGGTTGTAAATTTACTTAATGTCATGACTTATTGCTTAATTTACCACTGTTCAAGTTTTGAAAAAAGACATTATAATGTATTGTCCTTTTATCCCTGTGCACTTGTTTTTCTATAGTGACACTTGATGGAGTGAATAATTCAATAAATTAAACAGTGCAATAACTATTTCCTATTTCACTTTAGGATCTTCACATTGTACAGCAAATCACTGCCACTTGATCTGGCTTGCCGTGTCTGGGATGTGTTTTGCAGAGATGGAGAGGAATTTTTATTTAGGACTGGATTAGGGATCCTCCGGCTATATGAAGATATACTCCTACAGATGGACTTTATTCATATAGCACAGTTTCTTACCAAATTGCCAGAAGATATCACGTCGGAAAAGCTCTTCAGCTGTATTGCAGCCATTCAGATGCAGAATAGCACCAAAAAATGGACTCAGGTAGAGTGACTTTTTTTTTTTTAACTTTTAATAGTTAAAATTATCTGTTGACTTTTTGTAAAGCAGTTTTCTCTATCACAAGTGTTAGTGCTTAAACTAAAAAATAATTTTTGGCTTTGAGATGGAAGGATTAAAAATGGATTTCTCTTTTCTAAACTTACAGCTTTATTTTATGTAAATCCTGAGGTATTTTAGTGAATTGCCACCTACAATAGTCACTTATTTACCAAAGCAGTCATAGGGTTACTTTGATATTTCAAACAGACACAAATTGTATTAAACCCTTGCTATGAGACTGTCGAGATGGTTCATGGGTAAAGGTTCCTGCTGCCAACTATGACTACCTGAGCTTAATTCCTGGCTTCCACATGATGGAAGACTCCACACATGCACTGTGGCACATGCATGCTGATGCACCCACACATACTCTGGGCCCTACATGTGGAAGAATCCCCACATGCACTATGGCACATGCATGCTGATGCACCCACACATACTCTGGGCCCTACAAGTGGAAGAATCCACACATGCACTGTGGCACATGCATGCTGATGCACCCATACATACTCTGGGCCTTACATGTGGAAGAATTCACACATGCACTGTGGCACATGCATGCTGCTACATTCACACATACCCAAAATAAGTAAGTAAACAAACAAACAAACAAACAAATAAATAAATAAATAAATGTAAAGAAAAAAAACACCAAAAAGCCCCATCTGCTGTGTACTAAAAGCTTGCAACAGAAAGAACCTTATGTATGGTCCTAGCTTTGTGTTGTTTTGAGTCAGGGTCTCCTTTAACCCAGGCTAGACTTGATCTTCCAGTACAGCTGAAAATGTCCTTTGTCTCAGTGCTCTGTTGCTGTGAAGAGACACCGTGACCTTGGCAACTCTCATAAAAGGAAGCATTTAATTGGGGCTCACGTACAGTTTCAGTTTAGTCATTGTCCTCATGATGAGGAGCACACAGGCAGACATGGTAGCTGAGAGTTCTACATCTGGATCCCCAGGCAGCGGGAAGAGACTGTGACACACTGGCCAGGCTTGAGCCTCTGAAACCCCAAAGCCCACCCCCAGTGACACACCTCCTCCAACAAGGCCATTCCTCCTAATCCCTCCCAAGTATTCTCATTCCAGGACAACCAAGCATTCAAATATATGAGCCTGTGGGAACCATTCTTATTCAAGCCACCATAGCCTTGAACCCGTGACCCTCCTGTCCTGGGAATGCAGCATGTGCAACCACATCCAGAGGTCCTTGCTTTTCAAATGCGTAGTCTTGTTAGAAGAATCACATATACTGGTAAAGTTAAATGACATATAAAGTAAACATTGTCATTTAGTCCATGGATGACACAAACTACCTTTAAAGTTCTTAGCTTAATTGCCCTTGAAATGAAATACAGTATAGCTCCAGTAATGTTGGAGTAATTTGCAGTTGGTGAAAACTGGACTCTAATTATATTCAGTAAAACTGGGCTTTTACCAAAGGAGAGGTGGGGAGATAGCTCAACACGTGAAGGTTCCTGCTGTCAAGTTCAGTCCCCAGGACCCATGTGCAGAAGACAGTCAACTCACACGAGCTGTGCTGACCAAGGCATGCACACATACTCCTATACACAACCAACGAAACAATAAAATGTAAAACAGAAACAAGAAAAGCCAAAGCAAACAAAAACTCCTAGGAAACCTGAAGCCTGGAATGGTGGTATTTACTTGTCATGTCAGCACTTGAGGAGGTGGCCGCAAGAGGCCCAGCAGTTCAGTCATCCTCTGCTATATAGCAAAGTCCGAGCCAGGCTGGGCTATGGGAGACCCTGTCCACAGACATCTTAAACGGGTGGTGTGAGGGCCTGAGAATGTCAGTGTTTCAGAAAAACTTTCTGTGTTTCTAGCCTAGGCTTATCTAAATCTCTGTTTCATGCAATTTGCAGGTCTTTGCGTCTGTCACGAAGGACATTAAAGAAGGGGATAAGAACAGCAGTCCTGCTCTGAAGAGCTAACATTGGAGTGAAGGACAAACTAAAATGCAAAAGCTAGTTTTGGGGGAGACTTTCCTGTTTCCTATGCTGATAGCATGGAAGGAAGTGTTGGAGAGAAGGATCAAGATCTGGAAAACTGCTGAGTTGAAGTTCCATGGCTGAAGTAAATGAAATATGTAATTTATTGACAGTATTAACAACAAAGTACCTAGGAGAGCCATTTTCAGAGGAAAAAGTTTAGATGGCTATTACATACTCCATAATTTGGAGTGAATATTTTAAATGCAATAATTTTTTTAAAATAGCTTCAACAGAAACTTCAATTTTTTTTTTTTTTATATCTTTTCTTTTTTAACAGTTATTACAAATGCACTTTGGGGGTCAGAATGGGGTTGTTAAATCCTACTTTAACCTCCAAAAAAGATATGGATATGTGTATTATCTCCAGTTCTGAACTTTTGAAGCTATTGTAGACCAGTAGTAAGCAACTTACATTGTAGGTTATTTAAGTTGCTGAAGCTCTTGCTTCCTGTAGGCTAGGGCAGTTCTGACCTCTAGAACTGGAAATGCTGGTGGGACATTGTTTCTTGTTTTGTTTATGGTGTTTCCCACAGTGTTGTGCCCCTTTGTTTTTGAAGAGAAGTTCTTTCTCTAAGGAATTTCTATCACAGAAGAATTTTAGCCTTTTTGTTTCTTGTCCGACAAATTGTTATGTAGTAACTTAACATTAAAAAACTAACTGGTAGAATGGAAGGTCTTTTTGCACTTTAGTGGTCTGAAGACGTGACTGAGAGTAAGAATAAAAAAGCAATGAATGCTAAGAGTTCTAGATAACACACTACTTACAAGACTTGAATTTTTTAGTTAAAATCCATCTTCTATCTATAGAAACCAATTTTATTAATTTCAGTTTGAAATTTGAAATCTTATATAGCTAAGTCTAAGACTTGTGAAACTATGCATATTTTTTTCTAATTGATGGGAATAATAGTAAAAGTAATTTTACCTTTTTTCTTAGTCTTTTTGATGGCATCTCAGATAAATTATTAATCATTGGTAAACTGGCATTAAATTTATTATACTTAATTTTTGAACCTAATCTGAATCATTTGAGTATTATGGATAATATCTAATGTCTGTACAAAATACCGTTTAGTTATTGATTAGATTTATCCTGTTTTGATGTTGCAGTTTGGTTTGATACAACATAGAAGCACACATTTCTGTTAGTGGTGTATATATATATATATATATATATATATATATATATATATATATATATATATATGTCTTTAGACTAACTAGCCAGAGATTCTTCCTTATGGTATAGTAAACTGCCTTAGGAGTATGGGACCAGAGGGTGTCCATATATTTTTACCCTATGGGTTGATCAGTCTAGCGTCAGGAACTCTGAAGAATTAATTCCTATCATAAGGGCTGGCTCAGTGAAACTGGTAGTATAATAAAAATATTGAGGGATTTTCTAGAGTCTTAATAGGTTTTGTTTTAGGATGAGCTTTTAACTCTGGGGACTGTCCCTTGATATTGGTGTTCCTCATAAAGGACACCTAACCTCTGGCAGTAATCTCTGAATTTATACTACTTGGCCTGGATTTAATTTTACTTTCAGGTATTAGTTTCCTGAGGTGGTCCTGCGTTCTGTATTTCTTTTTGTCATTTTTTTTATTGTACAGTTTCTTTACTTTCCAAGTATAAATGTGTATATAAAATGTAAATACAAGAAATTCACTAAAAACCACTAGCAACAATTACTATGAAAATAAAACTTGTAAGCAAATTATGATGAAATGAGTCTTCATTATTTTGGTGCTATCAGGTTTAGTCAACATCTAGGGAAAAAAGGAACAACTTTTTTTGGCAGGGGATAGTTTTCTTCTCTGAGGGATTTCTGAGGTTGTCAGTACTTTGAGCCTTTCAGAGAAGCTGACATACTGTCCTCCATGTTCGTTCCCTTTGAGCACATAAACAGGCAGTTTGTATGTAGTTACTCACATGACCCCACACAGCAGGCATTGTTAGTTTATTTATTTGAGACAAAGTCTGTCTATGTATCCCTAGCTGGTCTGGCCTAAGAACTCACTATGCATACCACTCAGGGCAACTCAAAAGAGATTAAAGGTGTGCTACATCTAGCTGGCCAGAGAGGTGACTCAGAGCAAGAGGATCCGTGTTTGATTCTCAGCACCTATATGGTGGCTCATAAGTGTCCATAACTCCAACCTGTTGGATTCTAGAGGATCCAGCACTCTTCTGCCCTCCATGGGCCCTGCATGCATGTGATATACCTACATACAGGCAGGCAAAACACCCATACACTTAAGTTTTTAAAGTGTATTTTGGGGACTGACAATACAGTTTACTTGATTGAGAGTGCTTACCTAGCACGCACAAATTCCTGGGTTTGGTCCCTGGCACAACACAAACCACGTGTGCTAGTGCACATCGCCAACCCCAACATTTCAGAGATAGGAGTAGGAGGCTCAGAAATTTAAGGTCAAAGCCAGTCTGCAATACATTGAGACCCTGTCTCTCACAGGTTCTGTAACCTCTACACACACACACACACTGGAACACAAACATACCTACAAAATAAATAAGGGAAAAAATTACTAGAAACAATAGCAAAAACCAAACATTGGGAAAACAGGCAGCCTCTTTCAATAAATGGTGCTGGGAAAACTGGATATCCGTATGTAGAAGAAGGAAATTAGATCCCTATATCTCATCTTTCATAAAAATGAGGCTGGAGAGATGGCTGAGCAGTTGAGAGTGCTTCTGTTCTTGCAGAGGACCAGGTTTGGTTTTCAGCACCCACATGGCAGCTCACAGCTGTCTGTACTAGTTCTAGGAGTTCCTGCACAGACATGGTACACTTAGCATCATACACATATAGAATTAAATAAATATTTTAAAAATAATTTCAAAATGGAACAAAGGCCTTAATTTTAAACCTAAAATGATGAACTTGCTAAGGGGAAAATACTTGAAGCTATAGGCAAGGTCTCTAAGAAGGTTTCCAGTAGCACAGGAAACAATGCCAACAGTCAGTAAGGAAACCGCTGACAGAGGAAAGGGGCAGCTTATAGAAATGGGAGAAATCTTAACCAACTATATAATTCAGCAGGGGATTATACTACTCAGCAGAGAAAAACAATGAGGTTTGCAGGCAAATGGATGGATCTAGAAATAATCATCCTGAGTGAGATAACCCAGACTCAGAAAGAAATATGGTATGTACTCACTCATAGGAGGATACTGGAGGTGGAACAAGGATGACTGGACTGCTACTCACATCACCAGGGAGGCTAGCTGGGAAACAGGACCCCAAGAAAGACACGAGGATTGCCCAATGACGGAGAAATGGCTGAGATCTACATGAACAACCTGGACATGAGTGGGAGTAATGAAGGTC